TATAATTACAAAAGTATAAAATAAATGCGATAAAATAACTTAATATCCTCATCATGAAACGAAAGAATTCCTTTGAAAACTTTTTCAATTCAGGTTCTGGAGAAACAATGTTGTTTCATTTTCGATACAATGACATCAAAATTGGGACATTTTGATGTCAGAGCAATTTGGATATTGTCCAAAAAATTTCCCTAGCAAACGTTGTTATGGATGGTTATATGCGAATCTGCGAACTCTGCCGGCGCTTTAAGGTTTTAAAGTTCATTTAAATTTACAATAATTTAACTGGTAAAAGTGACACTATGACATGTCCTCAAGATGAAGACAGTATTTATCGAAAATTAATCGAGGAAAGAGAAAATATACTAATCAAATTATCGAACTAACAGACAACTAAAATATGGTTAATAAATGAAAATCTTAGACTTAAAATAGAACCACTGAAATAAATTAAATTAAATAACTACTTAAATCGATTTAAACAAAGCGGAAACACGTGTCAAAAAATAAGGTTATGAAGGCAATAGACAGCTGACAAATGACATCTGTTTAACCACTTGACAACGCGTTAGCAACCAAACTGCTTCGAGTTCAACATGACGTGACGTCTCCTAAACACGTCTATTACATTGGACAGAAGCAGCGTTGCCGGGGAAAAAATTTGTCTTAAAAAAAGCGCGTTTTTTTAATAATTTTATTTATGTCTATTGGAGTCCTCATTACCCCCAAAGATTTTATTTTTACATCACTTGGGGTAAATTGCCCCCGTTCGCCGACCCCTCATGGAGGTCAACATTGAATCAGGATCTACTGTCGAGTATGTCATTAAACGTGTAGACAAATTTCGAGATTTTCGTGTGTTGTCAGATAAACGGAGGTTGGCATTCCTGACTTGAATACGTAACGGTAACGACCGTGCGTATTCGTGTCGACCAACTCCTCGAGGTCGAGGCCGTAGTCACGTGTGATCGTCCGCATAGCGCAGACCACTGATTGGCATTTATATCGAGTGACATGTTCATGCTCCAGTACAGCAGAAAGTTCGCGTTTGCCATCAGAACTCGAGACTCGTTAATGCAGGCAAGCGCTCCCCCTGCCCCC